ACTTGCATGGCAATTCTTGTACATTTAGATGCTAATGTGGCATGATATTTAGCGATCTAGCTTTTAATTTTAAGAATTTTAAATTATATGTGACAAGTATTTAACTATAAATGAATTGCTGCATTAGCATCTAAATGTAAAAAAATTTAAAATTTGTATATATATATATATATATATATATATATATATATTTTTTTTTTTTCTTTTGCTTGTCTTGGGATAGAAGTCTATCTATCTTAAAATAAGATATTCATGAAGAATTTAAATACATGATTTCTGATCAAAGTTTAAAGAAAATTAAGAAAAGCAAATTTCTCATAAATTAACTGAGAGAATATACCTAAATCTGCATTTCAACCTAAAAGACCTGTTAAAAACTAAAACCCAAAAAATTATTGACTCACTCATATATAGCTTGGACTCTGGACTCACAGCATCAAAGAAAAAAAACTGGACTCATAAATAAAACCAAAAATAGGACTTGTGACACAACATCAAAGGAAAATATGTAACTGATCTTTTTCTATCCTCAGCTAATTAAAGCTGAAGTATAGTCTGGGCAAGGTTGTCCAGTACTGCTTCTAAGACAAGAAGCATGTCGGCAAATTGTTGGACTGATATCTTTAACAGATCAAGCTCAAGCTTTTTATCTTCCATCGAAGCAACCATTTGTGCCAATTCCTCCTTAAAAAGGTTTGTATCTGCCTTGGTAGCCGCATCTTTGGCTTTCATTCTTCGCAGACTCTTCTTTGAACAAAATAGATGAAAATATACATATCAACAAGTAATTCATGGAAAGAGATGTATTAAGAATGAAATGGATAAGATTTGTTGAGAAAATAAATGCAGCTATATATGTACCTTGAGCTTGTGCCTCAATCTCCCATTATGGGTTCCAGCCATTTTAAATTCTCCTTGTGTCTCTGTAATACCATATGGGGAAGATGGATGTTGATTCCATGGTATGGAAAATGAATTCAAGAATTAAATTTAATATTTACCTGACTGAATTTGCTATTGCCTGCCTTTATTTCTGTGCTTCTGTTTCTTTGTGCATATCACCTCTGAATTCTATGAAATTTATAGACACAAAATTAGGACTGTGCAAATTAAAAATATTCAAAGTTTTCTGCTTTAGCGAAAGTTAATTGCCAATCGTCAGCAGCTCCTCATTGGCTCGCCATTTCCATTGCATTCAACATTTTGTTCTTTGAATGAGTGAAATTATCGTCATTAGGGGTGGGCCAAGGGATGGCAATGGGGCCCGCTGGGATTTTTTATATATAGGGCAGAATTGGTCCCTATCTCCATTGCACGTGGAAATTTTATCTGCCCTTGTAAAATTATAATATAAAATTAATTTAATTATTTTTATTTTTAATAATGTTATCATTATAATCTTACATAAAATTATAAATTTAAATTTATAATATAATATTAAATTAATAAATATATACAATATTATAAATAAATCTTTAAATAAAAAAATTAATTATATAATAATATAACATCTTATAAATTAATTTATAATACCATATAATATTATAATTATATCATTTACTTTTTATTTTATTATTTTAAAACAAAATACTTTAAAGAGTTTGGCCAAGGCCATAAAAAGTATCAGGTGGAGTTTTGATTTGAAGAAATCACACTTAGAGCCACTAACAGAGCTAAGGAGTCTTGCGATTCTAGGCCTAGACCCGATAAATAGGTCGGATCAGATGAATTCAAGTTTCATCACTTTATATTCTAAATTTATCCGGATTAAGTCAGTTTAGATTTTGAATTGAAAAGAGTAGATCTATAATTCACTCGTATAAGACATGGATTGGGTAAGGGTGGATCCAAATTTTAAAAAAATTAAAATTAAAATTAAAAATTTTTAATATTTATTTATTTTTTATAAAAAAAAATTAATATTGATTAATTATTTAATAAAACAAATCCATTAAATTAATATTTATTTTAATAATATAATAAATAATAACCATTTATAGTATTTTATTTTATTCTATATTTAAAAATTAAAATTAAAAATATAATTAATCAAAATTTTAAATTTAAAAAATTAATTAATTTTAGTTTAGTTACTTCAAGTTAACTTAACTTGACCCATCTAGATCTAACTCAATTAGATTTGGATAATTTAGATTTAGGTCATATTGAATTCTAAATTACTAACTTAAACTCATGATTTTATCGATAATAGATGCGGTTAAATTGAATCTTAATTAGATTCAATTTTGCTAAATCTACTTAGGTCCCTAAACTTTTGAAAAATAATTAATATAGTCTATCAATTTTTATTCTATTCTTTTTATTTTAAAATTTTTATTTACTTTAGGTAATTCTAATCAATTTCTTTATCAGTGTCCATTTTGGCCCCCTAAAATTTTCTTTAGCTTCGCTACTGCTTAGGGATATCATATTTGATCCAACCCAAACTAATTTAATCCAATTAAAAACTAATCCAAGCCAACATCAATTGGGGTTGGTTTGTATTGTGATATTTTAAAATCAATATAATTAATTTAGTTTGTAATTTTACCTTCAAATCAATTGAGCCGCCTTATTACAAAATAATTTATGTAAATATTTCTTTTCTTGTATTACTTTCTAATAATTTTTATATTAATTGTATTTGGAATCTTCCTTTTCTTGTTTTACTTCTCTTATTTCTATTGTATAACTTTTTTTATGGTTTTGCTAAAATATTAACTTTTTCTTATTTTATTTTTGTATTATAATTATTATAGCATAATTTAATTAACTTAATTAAAAAAAATAATATAACTCTAAATTAATTGCCCTTGTCAAAACATAAGGTTTGCTTGTAAAACTCTTTACCTTCTTGAGCAACAACGGCATGGGCTTACATGTCTTCATTGCCCTTTTAGTTCCTTTATCAATCTAGTATATTGGTGCTATTATTTTGTTGTTTATGATGTTAGTGTGTTTTATAAATATGTTGAAAAATGATTGATACATCTTTAAGTGTGGCAAACTTTTCAACACTCGCTTGATTAAGCCATTAATATAAATATAGTCAATTCAACCAATTTCTGTATTTGGTATGCATAATTAAAATTTTAAATTTGTATAACTTTAATTTTATATTAAAAATAATAATTTTTTTATGAATATATTTTGTAATATATTGAATCGAAGGGTATATTAATCAATGTTCAAATGTGTTTTCTATAATTTGATGTTTAGATTTTTTACCTAATCACATTAAAATAATTCTAAAACAAAAAATATTTAAAATTAAGGTACCAAAATTGACCTTTAAAATTCTCTTTTAATGTTTGAGTGGGCGATTCCCACTTGTGAACATCAAGAAAAAGAGTCCTTAGGAAAAAAAAAAAAAAAAACAAAAAAAAAAACAAAACAAGACACGAAAGACAACTGGTTGGAAAGAATCCATTATTTGTTGTAGTGGTATTGCCGCCATCATATTTCAAGGACATTAATACTTTAATTTTTTAATAGTATTTAAAAATATTAATTTGTTAATTAATTTAAATTTATTAATTAATAAATATTAATTATTTAATTAATTACTTTTTAAAAATAATTGTTATTTTTATTTTAAATTTATTTTAAATTAATTATCATTTTTTATTTTTTGAGATACATAAATATTTTTTTATTTTAACTCTATTATTATTTATTCACTTTAATTAATTATTTAATAACATAAAATTTCTCTTAATCCTTCACTTTTTTTTTAAAGAGTATTATAAATAAATAAAATTATTATCTTCAAATTTTTAATTTAAAAAATAAAAAATTATTATTATTTTAAAATGAGAGATATTAATTAATAATTACAATTATTATCTAATTTTATTAATTAAATAAAATAAAACTAACATTTAAAAAAATTATAATTTTATAAACCCTAATATTTTTGTTGGTTTTTTTAACCAAGACTATAAAGCATTCTCATTATTTACCAAAAACAAGAATCCATTTGTGGGGCCCGCAAATCGGATACGCAAGGAGAAGATCGATATCGGCAAGTTCCGTCGAACAAGGGATTGAAAACGATATTTAGCAAACCTAAGTGCCTCTAGCCATGGCCTAACGAATGGTTAGATACAGCTTTTTTGAGAGAGTAACTGACCAGAGGGAGGTTGTATCTTTGTATCCCCAAAGTTCAGCGTTATTGTCCCATCGACGCACCGTCCCTGAAATCACTTAAATAAATAAAAGGAGAGAGAGAAAGAATTAGTAATATATTTGTTGTCATTTTTCAGAATAATTGCACAGTCGTACCATAGCACTTTTACTTTTTTTTAAATCGAAGAATTTTGTCACTGACGTCTGCGACAATGACGATTGACGAAGTCTGTTTTATTCTTCAACATCTCCCGTAAAGTCAAGGCGGTATGAAAAACTAAACCTGATTGATGTGAAACTACGTGACAAAAATCCGATCTTTAAAATGAATTCACACACGAAGAGGGTGTTAAATAAGAAAATTTTATATAGGATTAAAAAATAAAAATTTTATAAGTTAAATATAAAAAAAAAAATTATTATATTTATTATTAATTAATTTTAAATTAAATATAAATTTTATATTAAAATCACATGTATAATTTTCACAAACAATTAATTAATTACTGATGTAATTGAATCTCTCAAGTTTTCAATATCTCCTGCAAACTCAAGGGGGCCTGGAATACCAACTTGAGTTTGAAAATATAAGCAAAGAAAAATCTCTACCAAACATCCATAGTGTATCCAGCAAAAAATTGGAGAGTCCAACATTCTTGAAGACACATAACATGTCTAAACCAGCAAAATTCTTGAAGATACGTAACATGCCGCCGACAATCAAATTGGCCAAGCTGTGAAGGCAAAGCAACAGCAAAACTTGGGGAAATACTCAACTAATATAAGGCAGCAAGATGCTGGACCAAGTTGGTCAAATTTTAAATCAGAAACAAAAATCAACGCCTGTATAATGTTGTAACCACGGTGGATATGTAGCAGCAAAGCAGGTAAGAAATTGACCCTACGGTGCGTCGACCACCAGATAGGGCTGCAAGTCGGGGTGGATTGAAAAATTCATAATCGATCAAAAATTCAAAAACCAGCGATATTATAATTGTTGAGTAGAGGTTGATTGGGTTTTGATTTTATTTAACTAAAATTTAAATTGAATTAATTTTACATAGATTAAGTTTTAATTATTAAGTTTAAAAATTAAAAAAACTAATAAGGAGGATAAGTATAATGAAAAAAATCTAGACATTTAAAAATTTTTTAAAAGTTTTTTGTTTTTAATTTTAATCATTTTTCCTAAATTATTTATTTATTTGAATAATTTTTAATTTTTTATAATTAAAATTAATAAAATAATAATTAAAGAATTCAAAAAATATTAAAATATACAAAAATAA